GAATACCATTATCTAAAAGCTGTGCATTCCTATTGGTGGGATTCAACCAACACTTACCAGTTCTGCCTAAGCTCTCTGTTACTCCAGATCTGAACACACATACTTGATGTGGGAAAAATTAGAGAAAAAAAATCCTTTAATGAATGATAGCTACCCATTAAAACAAGTAGATTGTATATTATTGTTGGAAAAACCCCTCCAAATATCTAGAGAACTGTAGCTCATCAGGATGAGAGAAAACAATCAGAGGATGTTTCAGGAACAAAAGCATTAAATATAAGGCCTGCTGGAGAAAATGTATGGTAGGCACAAGTAAGAAACTTTGGAGAAAATGATATAGCATTAATATCAAAGAGCAAAGGAGGAATGGGTAATTTAGAAGGTTCTAAATCATCTTTGTACCAAGGTCCCTAGGTCAAGTATGAGCACAGTTAAATGAGAGTAATATCCTTGACCAGAAATCAGTGACTATGCCAAAAGGCAGACATTGCATCATCTCTTACCTTGTCCTTTGTTAGGGGCAGACTGTTATATGACTTCACCTAAGGGCTAACCTTAGGTTATATGACTAACCTAAGGGCTCATTATAGCCAACTCATGACACTGCATTGTGCACTATGGCAGAAAGAAATGCAACTTGGTGATAGACATGAGGAGAAGATGATTTTACTGTGGAGTCCTTGGTGCTCTCTGAGCTTGGTTGTTTGCTTGCAGACGTTTCTTTACCTGACTAGGTATATCATCAGAACAACCAAGCTCAGAGAGCACCAAGGACTCCACAGTTCAGCCCTGAGCTACCTATCTTCCCTTCCATTGGAGATGATTTTACCTCTCATAATGGGTAGGTAAGAGCTGTTTCTTATTAAGGGTAAGAGAGTGAATCTGTCCACATTCTTTCCAGTCTATCATCCCACTTTCCTGTCCCCCATCTTACATGACACATGGGATAAGATCACGCATGAAGTTGGTCATTTGCATTTTACTTAATCTACTGCCTTTTCCATATTGGCCTGTGCCTTGCATTGTTCAGTTCCAGATACATATGGTAAGAGACCAAGGTAGGGATTCTTGAAGCAATATTCAAGTATATATTCAAGACTATATACTGATGTATATTTTGCTGTAATTAATTGAGAAAGTCAGTAAGGATCCATATTTCTTTTAAAGATATCTAGCAAAGATGGTCCCAGCTGATAAAAGAAATCTGTGTTTTGCTTGCTTGAACTGGCACCTGCATCCACCTTAACTAACTCAGCATCCTCCTCAGGGCCAGCAACACCAGGCAGCTGCACTGCATTGCCAACCACAATATGTCCTCCTGAGTCTGAGAAACAAGTAGTAGCAGGTATACTGTTTTCCAGTGTGGAATTTCACTTTTTTTCCTTCCACTTACTTTTTTGCCATCTATTTCTAACTTCATTTTTCCTTCCTTTATGCTGGAGGATCTGCCTCTGGTCACTTTTCTGTATTTCTCTTATCTTATTATTACTGCAATTGTCCTTCAGCCTTGCCATTTGGAGAACAATGTTTTTGAGAGACCTGTTGCAATAGCAGTAAGGTTTTCCATATACACTTATATGATTATATCTTTGAAAACAAAGGGCAGCATATATTGCATGAAATCATTTTTGGTAGTCTTTTTAAGAATACGTATTTGTCATTTCATTGTGTGTTTCAGAATAAATAACCAGTTATAAAAATGCTAAGTCAGAAAAATACATTTATCTTGCTATACAAAAGATTCATTGATTTTTAAAGCCTATAATACAATAACAAATTTAACAGATATAAATTCAGTGGTTCATGAGTTGCAGAGAAATGGTCAGTGATTGTGCTCACTTGTACATGACATTTACCCCTTTATTTAAAATAATTCCAAAGTTTGTTTCTGTGTCATCCAAGAGGAAATTGCTTTCAATAATTCCTTTCCCCTAGAAGTCTAATACAGAAATAGTACAATATCCAGGCTCTAACTCTGATTCCCAGACAGGAGACAAGAAGCAATAAGCTTACTGAAAATGAGAGAAGAGGATTGAACCCCTAAGCCTTCACATGTAATTAATGCTAGCATTCCATTGAACAACTGTTGATAGCCAAATGCTATCATGGAGTAACCATTGTAAACAGGGTTCCTCTGCAGTTCTTCTTGTGGAAAAGTTTGCTTTGGTAGCTACACTTTTTGTCTCTAACAGAGAGACATAAGCTGAGGAAAGAGAACTGGAAAGCAGTTTAGAAGACAATATTTCTTTTAATCATACCTTTGCAAACAACTTTGGAATTTCTAAGTCAAGGGATTATGTGTTGCAGTTACAGGCCAGATATTCATTACTGTCCCTATGTTTTTCTTTGCTCTCACAGATAGTCTTTTGATTATATTTGGAAACTATGTCATTCGCCCACTATCAGTGTGATTCAGGCAAGTGAAAACTACAACAAGTCTAGCAACAATAACAAGAAAGATTCCAGACAGTCACCTGTAGGGATGCCAGTCGTTTTGTTATAGTGTTGGAGCAGATATTTGAGCTGAAAGTATGGAAGGCTGGAAGTCTCAACCTTCCTCTCCCTGAAACCTCTGGGTCTTCACACATTGGTGTGCCTTCTGCGGTGGTAGCAGTTTGGCAGTTCCTACTACCACCACCTATCTTTCACTATCTTTGGCAGTTCCTACTACCACCACCTCACCTGATATTCTCCCCCTAATCCAATATGTGTGAGAGAGAGAACTCACAGACTGGGCTATCTTTCTGACAATTAAAAGGTCTAATGCAAAAAAATTAAATAATTTCTATAATGCCACTTCCTGGCTATATATTGTATGGGTGTATGGCTAGAGAACTCAACACTTTCTTGGGAGGTAGTCAAATATCACAAGAGCTTAAAATATCTAACTTTTTTTAAAAAGAAGAAAAATAACATTGAACATGGCCTTTTATTTTAAATATGCTTAAAATACAGATATCTAATAGTGAAGAGATAAAGTAAAAGCTTTGAACACTGGAAAACAAGATTTTAGAAGAAATTTGCAGAAGAAAAGGTGATGATGACCTGCTACAAATTCAAAAATTCTTTGTAAAGTGAGATCCAAATTATAACAGATCACAAAAAGGTTATAAATATTCATGCCCAACCTTAGAAATGGATAAAAGCTGAAATTACACACAGTTCACCATCTTATACAGAGAAATAAGGACAGTGAAACTTTGAGACTCAACTTAGCACAACAGCAATAAATAAAAAAACAAACAATGTTTGAACAGTGCAATTTCTGGCTGAATGTTTTACCTTCTGAAGTAGCAGTACTTGAAACTGCTGTTCTTCTGCCTCACTCTACCTCCAGCAGAAAGAGAAGATGGGGTAATTTGTCTCTATATGTATTGAGTAGCCACTCCTGGGGGAGCGAGGATTGTCTGGGGAATTGAGCTTGTCTGGCAGGTTACACTCACAACAAGGGTCATGTATGGCCTTGCATGTAAAGTCATACATACCATGCATTTTAGTGGGGTAAACTGTGCCTATAATGTACTAGCTGTCATGAACTTTCAAAGGCAGAAGAGCCCATCTTGAAGCAATGTTGGCAACCTTATTCCTCCAACTTGCCTCCAGTGCCAGCTTTTTTTGAAAAAGCAAGCAAAGAAACAAAAGGTAAGCAGTGGTCTGACTAGGGTCCGCACAACTACAACTGGAATGGGGGAAAGATTACCTACTCCATTATCTCACTGTTCTGCACCCCTCCCCTCATGTGACTTCAGGAATTGGGAGTAAAAAGGAAAACAAAATGATATCTTTTAAGGGCTGCTGTAGGACTTTGTCTTCATGGCAATAGCAGAAAGAAAGTTTTAACCCTGTTCACACAATTCACCTGATTAGGTATCAGCTTAGCTCAGACCCAGGCTGTTTGGGGCTAAAACTATTAGCTTCTAACCTCCTTTCACAGGGTATGTATAAAAGATGGGGTGAGTGAGTCAACTGATGGTCAAGTGTTTGTGTTAAGAATCAAAATAGTACGAACACCTAAATAAATGATACTCTTCTAAACAGGCATGCATGCATTTGCATTGCTACTCACACATAGATGTCACTGAATTCTGAAGAACATAGCTCTGTTTCTGTCTGAATACGATAACTGTTTCTTACTCTCATAAACATGGTGATTGGATTGAGTACTTCTGGAAAGCTTTATCAGAGCTGCATTAAACTATTGTCAACCTCTCACTTTATATTCCATGAGTGGATGGAGGAAGAAGAGATTTAAGAGCTAGAGTAAAATCTTATTCAAGTTTAATCATACATTGATGACAGTTTGCTTAATATAAATGACTGTCCAGCTTTGTAAAACTGCTGAGGTTTAACATGATACAACATCACTGCAAGATTGGCAAGATTAGTAAACACAAGTCTTAATATCGTTTGCTGGGGATATGTTTTCATGAAAGTTTTTGAGGTTTGCCGCTAATTACTAAGAGATTTTAATCAGATAATCTCCAAAAGTAAGAATAGAAACTGGACCCTTATTGATTCTTACCCATTACCTCACCAGTGCTTTTGTCCTCTCTGGGATCTCATTGCATGCTGTATCAGGTGTGATTTTCATTGTGTTTCATAAAAATGTTTGAATCTGCATAACTTGGGCACACTTTGTTTCAGAGCCACATGTACTCATAACAGTGTTAAGTCTGATAATTGCACGATAGAAGTTCTTTCATTTACAAGCAGCTTTCCTTATAGGTCACTTTATAGCCAATAAGACAGTATGCTGTTTCCTCAAGTTTCCTAGTTGACTTCTCTTGAAAATGTGACCTATAATAGTATCACAATAGTTAATATACTCTTGTTTTTACAATAACACAGAATTGCTATAGATGATTGCCATATAGAGTTAAAGAATTTAAAATATGGAAAGAGGTGAAAAGTAAAGGAAAAGGTGAAACAGTTTAGATACAGTTTAGAGTTTGAGATACAATAATTGGAATAGCTAATCACTTTTTAATCGTTTGTTGAAGGTCACAGAAAACAGACCAGATCATGAAGATCTAGATCTTTATGCAACATCCCGGGAGCGACGGTTTCTAATGTTTGCCAGTTTAAAATTTGAAGGGCAGCTATTTATGACACCATATGATTTCATCCAGTCTGTTACAAGTGATGAACCGAGACGTAAGTATGAGATTTGTGCCCTTTACAAACCTACAATATTATTGCTGCAGTGAACGTTCATAACTAAAGCTCCCTTATTTGGTGGACTCACAGCTCAAATCTTCTATATTTTGCAGTTATGTGTTTAGTAACTGGGTATTCTGATTGGTTGTATTAGGATATTTTAGGATCCTGTGTTGTTGGTAATTATCCATTTTTGCTTATGCAGACCAAATGCATCAAATAAGCCTTTGCTGCTATAGAGCCTGCAATATTAAAAAAGTATTTTAGCAATTTTTGATACCCCATATTTAAATCTCAGATTCAGCTAAGTATTACTGAGATATCCCAAAGACAACATGAAAAGCTGATTTCTGAGATATTATGTAAAAAGGGAAAGCAAGGTAACACTAGATATATTTTCAGAAGGATCATAACTTTTCAGAAATTGCAAAGCTCTTTCAATGGGAAAAACAATGAATATAGCTCTGCAGTGTTGTGGATTTGATCAGCAGCACAAGCCTGGGAATTGATGCAGCTGATTTAAGATGTTGAAGAGAGATGCTCCATTTGTGCTCACATGCACACCAAACATATTTTGAAAATAAAGTCAAAAGTCATCCATTGCTCTAATAAAGAGAATTGTGGCAAAGTAAAGATTCAGAAATTTTATTAACATAAAAGCTGAGCCAGACTAACTCAGTCATTTTTCTGTATAGGAAAAAAAAAAAAGAACACCAGAGAATAAATAGGCTTAAAGCCTACTGTATCTTGGTCTGGGATCCAACATATCTGAAAAATGGTCTTTCTCTATATTTTCTCATGTCCCTGTTGAGGTTAGGGCAGCAAGCACAGTTTGCTCTCCAGTCACAGATGAACAGAAAGTGAATAGTAGCAGTCTGAATCCAAGGGTGCAATGATAATTTGAAATTACAGGTAGTCCTCGTTTAGCGACTGCCTTATTTAGTGACAATTCGCAGTTATGATGGTGATGAAAAAGTAACTTTACAACCAATCCTCACATTTACGACCTTCGCAGTACTGTAAAGCAAAGGAAACCTGATGTAAGATTATAAGCACAGCCAAGTTTTCGCTTAGTGACCACTTCACTTAACAGCTGAGTTGCTAGTCCCAATTGTGGTTGGACTACCTGTATGGAGTTTAAAGTCCCAGGACAGGTGCTAACGGTAATCAATGTAGCATTGACTAAAAGGTATATTCTTATTTTTAAGGCTAATCATATTAATATTTATGAAAATATACTAAAATGATTATGGTCAATCCATATTTCAAAAAGGAAAGATAATCAAATATAGAATCCAGTGACTGTTTAGTGAACTGATTTTTTAATCTTTTTATTTAAAGCCTTGGCCTGAAGTGATAGCACTGCTTACAGTCAGCTGCTCTGTCATGGAATTCAGGTTGGTACCATTACCAACACCAAAAATACTGAGAACTTCTAAAACTGTACAACTTCTAGTTTTACAAAGTAAAACTTCTTTACTGTTCAGGCATCACTTCAGTGCTGTCCTTTGTTGTTCCCTTGGATATAATCTTACGCTGTTTAATCTCCTGGCTACTAGCACAGCCATATCTGTATATTTAGGGTCAGGTTATTAACCTATCATTAAATTCATTTGGGCCCAACTTTATGCTCTGTGGAAGTAAATTCCACTAAATATTATAAGTCTTGCTCCAAATATGCATTAATCTAAAATCCTTTAGATCTGAATTACATAGCTAGCATTTTTAATTCTAAATATAACTTTTAAAAAATATAAACTATAAAAGAAGTGACATTTTCACATTATAATAATAATTTTCTATCAAGTACTACATGTCTACTTCATCCCAATATTCATTCAGTATCATTTTCCATTCTGGGTTCCCTAGCTTGTCCATTTCAATTAATTCAGTTTATTTCAGTTACCAATCCATTTTGCTGCAACAGCTCTCTTTTTGATATAGTTACTTTTTTCCAATGCGTTTACATTTTTTTTCAGAAATTTTTACAAAAAGTTAGTGTATTATTAATTATTCCATTTATTTGGAAAGTCTTGTTTTATTAGATTAAATATTATCATTAGTAATAGTGAGTCTATCAGGCAAATAATCAGACAGTCAGGGAATGCCAGGGCTGTAAACTAGACTGGAAAGTCAAAAAGCACCCTGGAACAAGACAATGGCAGACCACTTCGTCACTACTGCCAAGCAGATTACATGGACCTGTCCATTAAACTTTACTATTTTTAGCGGATAAGCTTTACTATTTTTTTTCTTCCTCTACTTTACTATTTGTGTTTATATTAATTACACTTTGGATCTAATAATAACTTACTTGATATCCCCAGCCCCACGTATGAATAAGATCAGAATGATGAGCAGTGCATTTTCAGCATTTAAAATGTGTTACTAAAAAAACTTTGAGACTAGAAAGGTTAACTATTGAGATGATAGGAGATAGAATGGATATTGATCATGCCAGTAGTAAATAGCAGCATGCCATTAAGTACTGGTTTAAATAATTAGTTTTGTATTTATTTTAGGGACCAAACAGTGGAATACCCTTTCAAAACAGGTACGTTACAGTTGCCTTCCAAATTAGGATTTATACACTGACTCAATCACTAGTAGCACTAGGCAAGCTGTGATCTCTTTTTCAGTTTCATGTATGGAAATAATATTGGTCTAAGATTGCTGTGCATGTGAGGTCTTACTTTGCATATTTTATTATATAATTTAATCTGCATTTTTATTAGAAATGTTTTCAAATGTTCAACATTTCTTGAATGTTAAACATTCAAATACCATGGGATGTAAACTCTATTATGGCTATTCTTTTTCCTGTGACTGTACAATCCTATGTTGTCTAGACATATGTTAGTGGGCACAGGTTTCGAAATGCACTGATTGTTGGAGGGATTGGTGTTTTTTCCTTTTTTGTTATTGTGAGCCGCCCAGAGTCACCCGTTGGGGGAGATGGGCGGCATACAAGTTTAATAATAAATAAATAAACAAACAAACAAACAAATAAGACAATGTCATCTTTTTTTTTTTTAACTGATTTGTAGGAATTGAATCAGATACTTGTTGAAACTCCACCAGTTTGGAAAGGATCATCAAAACTCTTCAGGAATCTCCAAGAAAAAGGTACTGAAGAATATTTGCTTTGTCTTTGCTATGAAATTCTTTTGATTCTGGACTAGAGTTTGTAGTACTGTTACTTAAGTATAATTTGAATTTAACATAAAATTCATATGTTTATCTACATCTTTTCTGAAAGAAAATGCAATCAAAATTATCTGGGTTTGCTTTGGCATTTTTTAAAAAAAATTTTATCCCTCCTTTATTATTTTTATAAATAACTCAAGGCAGCAAACATACCTAATACTCTTTCCTCCTCCAATTTTCCCTGCAATCACAACCCTGTGAGGTGAGTTGGGCTGAGAGAGAGGAACTGGCCCAAAGACACCCAGCCGGCTTTCGTGCTTAAGGCAGAACTAGAACCCACAGACTCCTGCTTTCTAGTCTAGTGCCTTTATTTATTTATTCATTTAATTATTAATTTAGTTATTTGGGCATGAATATGGGCAACATAAATAATTGAAAGATTGTAAGTCTGTATTGTTTTAGTATGTGTTATTAGATTTCTTTTACTATTTTTTGTGGTGGTCAGCTTTGGTCATATTTGTGAAAAATCTTCAACTCAAATTAACAGAAAACTATAGACTATTTTAAAATGTCCTTTTATAAATAAATTGATAAATAGTATCTATAAATAGATGTAATTCATTACAAATAATTATAATAGATAAACAGACTTTAAACTAGAATTGTGTACAAAATGTAAATTAAAATAGTTTCTGTTAATTTGAAACCAATGCAGTGCATTACCCTTGCTGACATTAGTACCTTAAAGAGCACATTTGCACTGAGATCTGAAAAGTATTCAGAGATTCAACTTTATATGGATGTTCCATGTGCCTCCAACAGTCATTACTACGGAAGGAGATGGTCCTCAGTTTTGGTTCGAATGGTTTGAAACTCCAGTTAAAAATGCTGCAACTGTATTGGGCAAAAAATTATTTATATGTGAGTTTAATATTCATGCTTTTCTCATTATAATTTTTATTTCCTTATTTCCTTTATTTGTCCATCAACCATTCCTGTAGGCTATGGACAGCTAACAATCAAAATCGTTTCATAAATTAAAAACAATTCCCTCAAAAATAATACATGAATCTACATTTATTGCAAACAAAATTGACAACAATATCAGAGCTATCAAAAAGCTATATAAAATCATATGCCTGCAAGTTTGAAACCTCCACAACGTCATGCCCTCCTGTGTTGGAGGGAACAGCTAGATCTTAATTGCTCTGCTGAAATCCAGGAAGGAAGGAGCAGACTGTCAAGATAGTACTGTAGTCACAGCAGGACAACCCAAGCCCCATCAGCGTCCCATGCATGTATAAGGGGGTGGAACTGTGATTGCACTGCTGTAACCAGCATCCTGTCTGTTCACCTCATGCCCAGGAGAAGTCTCGGGCCCAGGGACTGGAAGACAAAGGTCATGCCTGCACTAGCCCAAAAGGGTGACTAGGTACCAGGGTGACTATGTCACTGATATAATGGTTGGTGAAGCACTTCAGGTTGTATCCACAGCAAAACCTATGTTAGGTAAGAGGGGAACGCTACTTTAACCATGATGTAGCTATTGATTTCTTTTGTCCTTGTGTTTTTATATGCTCTCCTTTTGTTTTTCCCCCATTTTTCGGTGTATTCTTCCATAATAAAACTTGTTAAAATGAACAAAACATTTTTTAAAAAGTAAAGGAGCAGAACCTCAACCAACAATTATTTCCTTGTGGCTGGCTCACTGGAATATCTTCCACAAGTTCAGGATTCCCTTTGGATGAAATAGGCTGTTTTCAGTTGTTTTTTTATAACAGAGGAAGGTGCTCCCTGTTTTCTGGTCAGTTTCACCCTCCCTTCCCTCTTTCCTTTTTTCTTCTTTGCAGAAAGCAAGAAGGGGGATGGGTGGGAGGGGAGAAGAGGATGAAATTGACCAGGATGAAATATGTACGGGCTTTGTACACTTTGGCTTGTTGCAGAGATGCATTAAGTGTAGGTTGTGATGGCAGCACTTTTTGTACCAATGTACTCTCCTCATATCTTGAGGAGGAAAGTACATTGGCATTGTGGTATAGATGAGCCCTTTTTAGAGGTTAAAACTGCCATTTACAATCCATTATTTTTGACAGAAAGTTTCCTTGTAGAATGTCAATATATGGATAAGGTTCTTTTGCAGATCAAAGGAAACATTGCACAGCCACATTGTGAAAATACTAATCTATGGTCTGATTTCCAGCCTTGGTATGTTATATAAACAGATTGCCTGTACCAATGGAGAGTGCCAGAATTGGAGATCCAGGTTCCATTACTGCTGAGTTAACAACCATGTGTCAGTTATAGCCTCAGCTTTAACGTGTTGTGAGAACAGAACTGGCAGAGCCTTGTAAGCCCCCATGAACTCCCTGGAGAAAAGGTGGAATAAAGTGCAAATAAATAATTTTACTATATTTTCTGTCATTATTTGCTAAAAATATGATACTAATTTGTTGACTTGCTTTTTCAGGTATAATTTCTTACACGGAATATCTGTTTTTACTATGTATCTTAACAAGTAAGCATTCAGAGTAAAATATATTTTACACAGATGCATGTATGAATGGGTATGATGTCAACTGTCATATGTGTCAATAAATAGTAATTTGTTTTTGCTGCTTCCTAGCAAAATATTACTAAAAATAATTGAACATACAAGTACAGTTTATTCAGACAATATAGGTTAATAGTTTAGCAGCTGTTTTGATAAAGTTATATCCTTTATTCTGCTGAGAAATCCAGTTTGATATAGCAATTACTACAGTGGAGATTTTTAAAACCCTCTGTTATTGTCAACAGGCAGTAACAAAATAAAATCCAATCTTTACTTCTCAGTTTTAAATTGTTAGCCCTAATACTTGTGAAACAGTTACGTGACCATACATGAAATGTATGTATGGCATTGTTTAAGATTTTCCTTTCTCAAAGTTCTCCTTTAAATGGAAAATTAATTAGTTCTTGGATAAAATCCCCAACACATTCCTCAAAAGATGGGGAGGAACCTCTCTCTAAATTCCCAGCTTCGTTGGGAAAACAGAGCAGTTCTGGCTTCTTGTGGTAAGGAAACCAACCAAGAGTTAGCTAACTAGCTGTGCAGCACAGTTAGCACTCAGAAAGGCTATGCTGGTTTTATAGTATCAGTTTTTCCTTTATTCTGACAGCAACCACAAGGTGGATAAAATATGTAAGGCATTATCTTGAAAGAAAATCAGGAGACTGGCAGGGATTGGGAACAGAAGCAATATAAGCAGGATATGGATTGGCAATGGGGACAGCAAATGTCACACTGATACAGTTTTTTGCCAACTCAAGAAATAGGTGGATAGCACTTTCACTCAGCAGTGGGGCAAGGCCCTTGATATTAAATATAAAGTGATTTAGAGTTTTTCCATATGACAGGCTCATGCCATACCTAAATCTATGCTGTCACTCTTTAGCCCACATCTGAAACGACATTTCATGGTCTATACCTTCTGGCATTCATACCACTGTAATATTTAGTAATAGTAGCAGTAATAGTAGTAAATAGTAGTTTTATTTAGTGTACACGTATAACTAACATCTTGTGCCTACTTCAGCAGGCATGGAACATCAGTACATTTTGAAATATTGAACAATGCCACAAATTTCATTCTCTTTTCTGAAGAAAGATAAGACTTTGGTAGCATGGAAAGAAAGGGGGAAGGGAGTATTGGGTTATGTCTTGGAGGTTGATTCAGAGGACCAGAAATGTTGTGGAAAAGAGGCATTCTGCTGGTGTAATAATATACTTATGGAAAGGCTATTGGCGTTCTGTTGCCATTCAAAGCAGATCTGGCTCTCTACAGTGTGTTTGATCAAACAGGACCAAATTATGTGTAATAATAACCATTTTATATGTTGAAACACAGTACAGTCCTAGTTGAATTAGGCAAAATGGGGCTGGCAAACTGATTTTACATGACATGAACAGAATTCTCACTTCAGTCCTCAGAGAAGTATTTTTCATGCAGCTGGTAACAGAGATTTGCTAAAAAAAAAAATGGTATGAAGGAAAGATTTTATAGAGTTAAGTACAGAAATAGCATCCCTTCTGCTAGTAAGTTTAGGCAGGTCACTCCATTTTTTTCCCTACGATTTGGAGAGTGTTGTATTCAGATACATACAGCCGCCAGTATAACACATGACTTAGTATTTAGCTGCAGTATGACTCCTAAAAACATTTCTTTTCTCTATTATATATTTTTTTCTTATCATTTCTTGGCAGAACCACATGCTGGTTTTAGAATAGCATTCAACATGTTTGATACAGATGGAAATGAAATGGTGGACAAAAAAGAGTTCTTAGTGGTATGTATATTACATGTAATATTTTTAACCTGTTTCTTTTTTTTAATGTATTTTGACCTTTTTTTAACCTGTTTCTAAGGGAAAAAAAATTTGTGTGAATAAATGTTACATTTTTGTATATTATTCCAGAACTATTCAAATTCTAAAGAAAGAAAACTCCCTCTCATTTAATAGTAGCTAATCTATCTGAAGAAATAATTCCCCCAAACATTTATATTGTATAGTTTTTCATTCTCTGGTTCTTCATTTGAGTCTTTTCTAGTTGACTAACGTGACTTCTTCATATGATAAAAAGTGGTTAATAAAGAAACACAAGGGTGGTTACCTAATAACCCCACATGGTTGTGAAGCAAACAGTGCCTGAATCACTGGGAAGGAATGGGAGGGGAAAAGGGAGAAGGTGAACTGAGCAAGAAATATGAGAAAGTAGGAAAACAAGAGACATAGGAGGAAGATGATTCTAGAGGGCTTTTAATGTACATCACTCTTCCTTATTCATGGATTTTTCAAATGGTCATCAGAATTTCATAACTCAATTCATTTTTTTCTCATCACTTCCTTCATAATTTTTCTTTCCAGAAAAAAAAATGTTTTTAGAAGCCATCAGTTTGGAGGCACCCAGAGTGGTGTGGGAAAGATAGCAAGAGATAAAAAATGAATAAAAGATTTCCTCTGCAGTTCATAGACTGAATAATTAGAATAAGTCTAATGCTGATCTGGCATTTTGAAGGCATGAAATGATAGCTTGAAGCTATGAAATTATACCCATCAAATGATTTGCAAACATGAAGCATGGGCATTTCGTAGATCGTTGGGCCAGCTGAAGAGCTACTATACAATCAGAGAGGGAGGAAGATTATGGTGCAGTTTCATCTGAATAAGGTTTATAGTTTATATTTAAAAGATCCAGGAAATGCTATACGAAATAAGTGTAAATTATGACCAATGTTATAGAATAAGGGCTTTGAGAAAAACTCCCACAGAAACTTTTAATGTAAATCAAGGACTTATCCAGTCCTGCCATTTTACCTTTGGCTATAAGGTGTAAAAGATCTTGAAAGGAAACTCTGAGTGAGCTTTTATGTGAAGGAAACCAATATAACCAAGTCAACAGTATTATTCTTTATGTTGATACTTATTAAGTCTCATTGCATAAAGAATGTGAAACGTGATAATGTAGAGTTTATAACACCCAGTTTTTCTTGTATGCAGCATAACATTAAAAATTATCCAAATTAAGTCATCAAGTGCTTAATAGATTCTTTAAAAAAAACAACCTGTTTGCTTATGTCATAGGTTTGAGGTCAGAGAACAGAGGGATTTTGTTCCCTTGATACAAGAGATGTTGTTTTGTCCTTTCTGCTTTCAACAGTCAATCCCATTATTTTGTTTCAGACAATGTTCCTATGAAAAGTGCTCCTAGATTAATTCATGTTCACTGCCGTATTCTTTGGTATCCTGTAGCACTTCTTCTACACAAAAGGTTCATTTCCAGAAGATCAAATGAGCTTTATTGATGAATGCAACAAGATCTTCTTCCCTGTATCTGGTGTAAGGGAAATCAAAGCATGGAAGATTTTTTTAAAAAGATCTTTTTGCCTTTTCAATTACCAACACTCTCTTTACCTTTTCTTGATAAACTGACCTTACATTTTAGTCCAAAGTGAGCTGTTTCAAATGTTCAAAGAATATATGGTATAATCTCTTGGGTCAATGCTGCTTCAGAATGCAGGTGGGAAATTACATGATGAAGGTTTCCACATTTAAGAATGTTCTTTCCTTGGAAAGCTAATATGCCAGATGAAAGAAATGAGGCTAGAACCCTTCTTACTTAAGGAATAGCTTTCCATATGTGGAAATTTTCATTAGAAAATAAACGGAACATGAAGCTTCATCCTCTATTCTGAAGTAGTGCATTTTCAGTGGAACTATTATGCTTTTAATGAATACCAGAGACTCAACTGTTTCTAAAAACACAGTGTGTATTTGCTAGTTATCAAAGCTAGTTGTCAAAGTTATCATTAAGGTTATAATACAACTTTCATTGGGCCAAGAGGTACCTCAACCTTTGAATGAGGTTAGATCACATAGAAATATTTCAAAAGTGGCATAGGATGAAATTAGATAATATTGTTAGTATTATGACTTTTATTGAATTATTTAACTATCGAATTTTAATATTAACATACACATGCTGATCCCTATTCCCTCACATGATTCCCATGTTTTATATTTATTTTAAACTTCATTTCCAAGTTTAAACTTGGAAATGAAGTTTAAAATAAATATATATGAGCAAAAACATTATTTATTTTAAACTTCATTTCCAAGTTTAAACTTGGAAATGAAGTTTAAAATAAATTATGTTTTTGCTCATATATATTTATTTTAAACTTCATTTCCAAGTTTAAACTTGGAAATGAAGTTTAAAATAAATATATATGAGCAAAAACATAATCCCTATTCTTATATTCTGTCATACACACAAACAAAATGCAAACTTTTTTTCTTTCATGCACACATACACATACCAGTGTTGATAACAATTGCCATTATAGTTTTTTAATATTGCTTTTTATGTTTTATTTTGAATTTTTACATTGTTTATTTTGTATTTTTATTCATGGTCACTACTGTGAGATGAGAGCTGTTACAATTCAAAGCAAATCAATTAATAAATAACAGAACTGGGGAGAGGGAACTTAAGGACCACAACATACCACTTGATAGACTTCATACAACTTTTGGCCCAGTTGTTTTGCACCGATGACATAATATATCTATTATTAGATGTAGCATATCAAGGCAGGTATGCTAGCAAATTTTGATCAGGTTAATTGAATTAGTTGCAAACAGCTGATAATTATCCTTACAGAGTTGGTTCCTGTTATTAATGAAAAGGTGCAGATGACAGTTCTTGGAGGAATCTGTAATCTAAGCATCCATTTGCATGCACAGTACCTAATGGGACTGTAAAATCTCATTTTATTGATAAATTGAGGTTTCAGTGTTATGCTAAACATTATAATATTGCATTTGCATTTATCTATGGGAGCATAGTGCTTAGAAGGAAAATGTATATAAAAACTCCATTATATTAAAAATAAATACCAAAAATATTACTTATACTATTCAGCTGGAGCTAAGGCTCTTTTTTTCCCTATCTTGTGCTCCAGAGCATTATGTCTGTGGTATTGTCCATAAACATCCTTAAAATAAACAACCATAGATGATGCAATTGCCTTTTTTTTTCAGCTGCAAGACATATTTAGAAAGAAAAATGAGAAAAAAGAAAGAAGAGGAGATGAAGAAAAGCGTGCTATGCTGGTAGGGATTTTAGAAAGAATTGAACAAACATTATAGAGTTTCTCATGATTCTTTGAATTTTGTTCTCAAACAGGATATAGGATAAGATTATTACATTAACAGTAATAACTGCAGGTGCACATTTTCTTTTCTGATGAATATGAGCCTTTGTCATATCACAAACTTTAACTGAAACAGAAATTGTAGAAGAACAAGGTCTGATTTAAAAGCAAACATATCTTCAGACTGATGGTTCCTATGGAAATAAATGATTGCTTTTCTACAGTACCATAAGCTGCAAGTATAATTGCAGCTGATTTTGGTTAGGGGAAATAGGTGCAGTAATCTTTAGCACTGCACTTCCATCTTTTTTTAAAGAGGTATGGTTTTGATACGGTTTTCATGGGAAATAATTTATTGGGCAGCTAAAAGTATTACTGCTGAGCTCAAATTTATTTTATCTACTGTGGGCAGGATATTTCTCACATGACTACTGTACTGCAGATTTTTAAAAACTGCAGTAAAACACTTCTCCAGCTTAATGGAAGTTTTATAAAAAAAAAATCTCTATGCAATTACTTTAATGCTATTCGGTATGCCATTTTAAAAAAAAAAGTTTAAAAAATGTTCCCATCATCAATAATAACCGCCTTGCTAAAATATGTTGTGTTATTAGATATATATTAGATATTATAATGATTTTTCATTTGAATGGTACTTCATTATCTTAATTAAAATATACGTATCCTCCATAGTCCTTTAGTGTTACTTAAGAGTAATTAATAACTAAAAAGTAAATGAGTGCCTACTACAAATGTTACATATGGTATTTGCTACATTGTAATGTGCTCGTGTTTCCAAGAGGTTCCTGCTTGTGTCAAAACTCTATCTTTAAAAAATATGAAAAAATAGCATCTAAGTCTCTGGAGGTTTTTACTGTTAACAGAAAGGATAGGCATAGGAAGAAGCAAGTGGCAGGCATAAATAGATTTTAAAAAACAGATTGCCCATACCATGGAGAGCACTTTATAAGGAGTGTTTCAGATGTTAGGAGCAATCTTGCAATTCCTCCTTTCCCTTCTTCCAGCAGCTTTTTTCTTTCTGTAGCAGATCCAGAACCAGCCAAAAAGGAAAAGATTCTGGCCCTTTGTATGAATAATTGTGTCTTCTTAAATTTTTATTTTCTATGGATTCTGATAGGGGTGGAATCTGTTCCATTATTAGTCTTACATAATTGTTACAATTAAGGTCACAATGTGATTTAAAGGTCTTTAAAATATATTAAAATGTTATGGCCTAAAACCTTAACAATAAAGCATAGCTCATAATATTTAAAATGTAGGCTTGCATATCTTAGCTAATTGCTGATTTCTTTCCCTTTTTTTCTATTGGTTTTGTTCTGAAATTCAACTCTTCTCTTCACTCATACTGCTTTATATCAGCATCTCCAGCTTTATGGATACCACAGTTCAACTAATGCTGTATGTACTCTAAACTCTTTTACTGTAAGAAGTACTAATCTATAAGTACTAATTTTCATGATACAAACATTCTTTACAAGATACGTTTTGCAATGACTAGATTCACACATTCGCTAAGCCAGAATGTGTTTCATTTTATTTTGGCTTAGCGTGTTGTGATAATTCAGTCACTTGAATTGTATTCAATAAACTATGGTTATATAAACTATGACTTAGTGTAATGTATGGAATGAATCACTATTAAGCCACATGATCATTGTAGATGAAGAGGAACTATCTGTTGTAAGCCTAACTTGGAAATTCTTTGCTTCTATAATACTGAGGTAGAAGACAAGATAGTCATTGTGATTTTTGTCCTGTTTGTTCACCAAGAGGGCTCCAGATTTACACCATAGGTGGATGAAAGACCTGAAGGAGAAACTGATGGGAGATACAACAGCTATTTGTTCTTCCACTTGCTTTTGATCTTCTACACTGGATATTTTATTTGCAACCTGCTTTATGGAGAAGCCATATTTAGACTTACAATCTGAATAGGTTTTTCATATCTTAAAAACTCAGAGCAATGACATCATTTCTTGACTATATAAAAATTCAAGTCTTAGTATTTGTGGTGAGAGATAATAACATGTATAAGATTAAATACTCCATTTGTATACTGCCAGTTTAATTGAGTTCACCATACCATAGGTGAATTTTAATACTAGGATACTAAATTCAATAATTAAGCAATAAGCCACTCTTCAGGCAGTCTATTTTGTTTCAGTGAACCAGATAAAATGAAAGAGGTCAGGAAAATTAGAACAACCCTTACAGTGAAGCCTAGCTTCTGTAGTCTAGAAAAAATAGAGCAAGAGATGGGCCAGACAAGAGAAACAACCAGTTTAATTATGAGTTTCTGATTTTAAGCAATTAACTTTCTGCTGTTGGAAATACTGTCTTTTTTAGTACCAGTAACATTCTTAAATAATGTAAGTTAATAATGAACCATTAAGGACATAACATGAATACAACTGAGCTGCAGTCAGAGTAGAGGAACTTACTGTTATATCTTCATATTATGTATTATTTTCCCAGATCTTTGCTTGATGCATGCAGTAAGCATGCATTGCATGTGCCTTCTGACAGGCTAACAAATGTTGAATGAAGAAGCATGTACAAATGGAAAAACACTAACTCATTCTGTATTGATCATATATGTATCATGAACATTTTGCTGGATGTTGAGGCAGCAGTAATAATTGGTACCCACCAACTATCAGTCAATATCAAGGCACTGAGGCATACAAAGTCCTGATATATTTCTCTGTATCGATGATGGTGAACCTATGACACACATGTCAAAGGTGACACACCACAGTGTTTTGGGTGACATGCCAGTGTTCACCAACACCCAATAACAACTATTCTCCCTGTTTGAGTTACCAAAGAAACTGAGATTGTTTTACTCCTATCTCATTTTTGTAATTAGTTGACATTTCTTCATATAATACAGAGCATCACACATGATTGGAGTGTATTTTTTTTAATTAAATGAATATGTAAAGAATTGTTTCTCTTTTGTTCAGGCGGTGGGGGGGGGGACACACCAGCAGAGTCAAGTTAGGCATTTTCCTAATTTTTGACACGGCGAACCCAAAAAGCTCATCATCACTGCTCTATAAAGTAGGTAGTTTAAGAAACTAACACAATGTGTTTATTCCTTGAACCTGAAGATTAGGTTGATGGGCCTCATACAAGAATAGGAGCTCTCTGTTTTTCATTAAATCTGAACAAAAGAATCTCAAGCATGAAAAAATTGGGGCTGCTTTAATGAGTAGCAGAGAAGGGCTAGGTTTACATGAGGTCCAAAGCTTTTCTTCCGAATCATTTTCAAAATATACACAGCTGTACTAGAGACATGTTCCCCTCGTTTTTTAATTTACAAATAATCAGTAATCATAAATCCTTTAAATCCTTTACATAGGAAGATCCACAGATTGAAGAGTGGACTTGCCATAGTTTTTAATATTGGCTTTATTGTCTCCTTTTCCCTATATCACCACTATCATCTTCAATCTCAGTGACTCCCTTCAGGCTGTCTAAAGATATCAGTCCCTTGTACAAGTAGTCCTCGCTTACCAACCATTTGTTCAGTGACTGTTTGAAATTACGAGAGGGTCCCCGCACCCCCACAGTCATGTAATCGCAATCTGGGCATGTGGCAACTGGCTTGCACTTACAACAGTTGCAGCATCTTGCAGTCACAATTGCCATTTGCAACCTTCTCTCCTGGCTTCCCACAAACAAAGTCAATGGGGAAGTTGGCAGGGAAGGTCACAAGCCACACCAGTTGCTTGCACCCTCCCCTGCCCAGCAGCAGCAACCCTGGCCACACTGCACCTCACAGGCCCCTCATGCATCCTCCCCCACCTGGTGGCAGCCACCTCCAGCCTTACCTTATCTGTCTGCCAGCCTCCTTGAAATCTGCCTGGGACTCGCTTAACAACCCACGATCCTTGCTTAGCAATGACAGTGGGGAGTGCCAGGATTGCCCTTGCTAAGTGATGTGGTCACATGACATTGCACTTTCCGACCACATCACTTAGCAATGGAAATTCCAGACCCAGTTACTGTCATTAACTGAGGACTACCTGTATATAACTGGATCCAAAATTACAGCATAATTTTAATGTAACATTAGTTTTCAGTGGGAATCTACATACTTAGGTCCACTCACTTGGAATTTCATTCAAAATTCATGTGTTTCTTTGTAAGTATATTTGCAAATCAGAATATCAGTTAATATTATTTTGGTAACTCTTAGAAGAATGACAAAGTATTTAAACATATCCATTGTAAGCTTCACTTTGTCATCTGACATACCACTACAGAAAACCTAAAGTTTTTGGTGGGGAGGGGGAGATTTATTTATTTATTTGAGAGGCTACATTGGCTTCTGATGAAAATTCTGTTCATCATTCAGCCAAAATTGGGCCCCAACTAATTTTTTCTTATATTAATGGGTAAGAGAGAGGTGTTTATTTATATCTCTGCTATTTAAATAAATAGAATTTAAAGTCCTTACTTACTAGATTATTTTAAGAGTTCTTTTAATCTGATATAAATAGTACTCCACAGACTGGCTGTTATCCAAACAAAGAAATCCATGGGATTTGTCAGTCATAAAAGGCTATGCAAATCTTTTCAAGGCCAGGAGCAACTTACAAAGCTTCATGAGCCTGGACATGGCTGCTTAAATGATTTCAAGAGAGGTGTTTCCTGTATGTTCCCACACATTGTGAAGTGACTCTTTCAAAGAATTTGGACAACCTTCCAAAGGGCAGTTGATTTTAATGGACCTTAAGTGTGCCTTTCTCTGGAGTTGATCCACATTACTATTCTTTCCCTGAAATATGATGGAAAAATGTTGAACCCAGTAATTTGAAATTAAAAGAAAAAAAGAAAATGTTCTTTTTGCTAGAAAACCCTAACCCTATCTAATATACACAAATACTCTTTCAAACTTGCTTTTCCATCTGTATGGAATTTAAAACTCTATGTTTTTGGACAAGTAAAAAAATTATATATTTTTAGGAAATTGAAATGGCCTTTCTTGTAAAATCATAAGATAAATAAGGAAGTGGTTCTCAGATCACTGCAAAGATGTTACAGTGTATAACTTCTTGCTGTTTTTTTCTCTCTCCCAACCCCTATGCATTTTGAAAATTCTACAGGTGCTCAAAACAGCTGGAGAAGATCTTGTTCCAAGAAGCTATTGGGACACTCTGAGACGTAGCACAAGTCAGGCACTCTTTTCAGACCTCACAGAGGTATAATAAAACCTCTGTATGGTACATGAATGTATTTCACTGTTTCCTATGTCATTCTATTGTTTTTCCTCATTGTAAATATTATGCCTTTAAAAATATTTTTGTCTTGCTTTAGGCTTTTTATTTTTAATTTGTCCCTTGGCATTTGTTTGGTACCTGTATTTATTAAGCATTTGTCATAGGCTTCAGAGTGTCCGTCCTTTCAGCTATGGGAATTAATCTTCCAAAATGACAGAATTAATACTGTATTTTGTACACCGAAAATATTGAATGTTTATTCACTTTGTTAAATTTAAAAAAAAATCCCATAGTCATAAGTAGCCTTCCCACATACCTAGAATTAGACTTTACATTTGAAGAATTGTTAGCCTCTTCCTGAAAACCTCCAGCTGTATTAAGGCTACCGATTCTAGAATACTGGCCTAAATTGGTAATCTTCCATGAAACACCTGATGATAAAGCAGCATCCCAGCTAAATTCAAAAATTTTGGAAACTGGTCCAAATATGTAAGCAGCCAGGAGCAGCTTCTGAAGAAGCAACGCAAGCCTGGCTAACAATATAGCTACTTTAATAATTTGAAAAGAGGTTTCCCCTTCCACCAGAAAAGCTTCTGTACCAAATAACAACAATAGTAAATGAATCCATATTCTTAACATAGCCTTGACAATGCCAAAAACAATATGACAAAGAAAAAGGAGATGGGAGAGAGAAAGGAAAACTAAATAATTCAGGCCCAATTCATAAATATAACGTTGACAGTGACAAGCTCGTAAAGGATATGGGCTGCTCAATTACGTCTTGCATGGTATGACACTGTTCTTTCTTACATAGGGGTTGCCCTGATGGCCTTAGCCAAGCTGGTCACAGAAATGCAAGTTCTTTATTACTGCAGTGATAGGTTGTCAGTTTTATTTCTCTAGATGAGATGCCAACTCAATCACAGTCTTCTGCCTCTTGATTATTTAAAATGTATTATATATGTCAAACAATTTTCAGGAAGATGAAATTTTGATAATTATGCAGTTAAGGAAAAAAAAACTTACTTTGCCCCCCCATAGAAATAATGCAGAGTATTTCATACCAGTATAAACAAAAACCACTGTATGGTTTTTGTATAGTTTCACTGTATAGTTTTTTTTGTCCAAAAACTATATATGGACTATGTAGCATATGAAACTGAAAGTTAATTAGTCACATATAAAAAATCCATGCTTGGTAAAAATTACTTCAAAAATTAAAAAAGTAAATTTAAATCAGAAATTGTGAACTTATATTTTAATCTATAGAGCAGTTTCTTGTAATTTCATCCTTCATACTTGAGGTTTTTCCACATAAGAAGTGGAATTCTTGACGTTTTTGCATGGATAGATTTTTCTGAGACACAGCTGATTATTAGGTCCAAAATCTGATGAGTATCTGAAGTAGGCTTTAATAAGTCTATTTCCCCCAACAAATTCATTTTTCATTTTTTTTACATTAAAGAAGCAATGAGAGAGAAAAATGAATGGTTTGACTTTTTTTTAGTATAATTCTTTAAAATAGAAGCATTTTATTTAATTTCTGTAATTCATTTCACACAATTTCAAACTGTTTTTAACAATCCCTGATATATCATTGTACCAGCATTTTATGTTTGTTGAACTAAGACATTAACAGAGTATTTGTAGGATCTGTGAGCAGGATTAATATATTAATTACTAACTGTTTTTGCAAAATATTATTAGTTTGATGAATGACTGTATTAATGATATTTTTAAGTAGAACACATTGTTAATATTTTGTGTTCTTTATTTTTGTTTTTACACTTCTGTGCTGAATTTACTGTCAACTGCTAATGTGTTTTTAAGCGTGCAGATGACTTTTCCAGTTTACAGTCTGATACTACATTGCTGATACACTTTTTTGGAAAGAAAGGAAAGGCTGAGCTTAACTTTGAAGATTTTTACAGGTGACTTTATTTTATACTTCAAATATGTATCATGCTTTCATGTATGTCTTTTATTTTTGGAAGGTATTTTTCTGATCTTGAAAAAAAGAAAAAAAAACTACTTGGATGAACTTTTTTCCAATGCAGAAAAAAAAACATTTTATCATGAAGTGCAGAAAACCCAAATTGAAGATGTTATGCAATGGACTTTTGTCAAAACAATAAATTCAAATGATTATAGCAGTGCTAAGAGGAATTTGGGCCTTAGTTTTTAAGCAGAGAAATTAATCATATGAATTATTCATAGAGAAAATGAGAATGAACAAGTAAATACAAGCAACTTGATTTCCTATAGCATATTTTCAAATTCAGATTCTTCAAGCATTGTTTAAAGGAAAATACTTTTCTAAGTATGTTGTTTATTTTTTATTTTCATGGTTTGATGTTTGAAAAATGTCATAGCTGAATAAATTGTTGCTAGTTTTCTGGTCTCTGAATTAACAGTAGGAAATATTCTAACAAATACTGCAGCAGAATTTGAACATTTGAGGTATCTGCTATTATTCCCCTGCCTACCCCATAATTTTAAAGACTCTGATATCAGTATTTTCGTAAACTAGGTTTATGGACAACCTCCAAACTGAAGTTCTTGAGATAGAATTCCTTTCCTATTCTAATGGAATGAACACCATCAGTGAGGAAGACTTTGCTCATATACTATTAAGATATACAAATGTGGAAAATACATCAAGCTATCTGGAAAATGTGCGCTGCAGTATCCCAGAAGAACAAGTAAGATTTCCAACAATAGCTCCAGGCATCTGCAGAATTTTCATAGCCATGTTGTTTTTATCATCCCAATCTTGTTAACTATTAATTGGAAAAGTAAACTTTCCCAAAGTAATTCATTTCCAGATAGATGTGCTTAAATATAAAAGCTGCAATTCATTCATAGTCCAAGACTGAAGATGCTTACTGCCCATACAGTCCTGGCTGACAGTAGGAAAGGAATGTGGGGGAGCAAGGCATAGTTTATATTGAAAGAAAAAGTAATTGGAATCTAGATAAAAGCATTCCACCCTGGAATCATGTTAAATACTTTTTTAAAAGATGGTACGATATTCTAGGATATGTTTGCCCATTTCCCCATGAAATAACTCCAGTGCCCTGTATAATGAATAAAAAATTCTATAGATGAAGCTTTCAACATGGTGATAGAAAAATGTCCACTAGCTGAAATTCTCATTACATCATCACTGAAGTCACTGAAGTGCCTTTAGATTAAACATCGGCAATAATGTTTTCTCCCACTCTAGCCATTCAAATAATAATATATAATTTACATAATTCCCTATTTAGTATATATTTATTTTTTTACATTTCAGATTTTTATGGAACTCCAATTTCAGCTAATTGTTACTCTGAATTATTTTTATTTTAATTGCAAAATAAAAGTACAGTACCCTGAAACAAACTATCTGTATGCTAAAATAACATGTAGCTACGTGTTTTGTCTTTTATCATCATTTAGCAAAATGAATTGCTCAATTATCAAATTCAAGTTGTATAATGTTAGAAATCAAGATATGCATCTTTAAAAAATAACATTTTTGAGCCATTCATTATATCTTAGCAATTGCTAAGATGAGAGATGAGAGCCAGTTTGGTGTAGTGGTTCAGGTACTGGCCTAGAAATTGGGAGATTCACAGGGTTGTTACTGTGGGGAAAATAGGAGGCAGGAGTATTAGGTATGTTTGCTGCCTTGAGTTATATATATAAAAAAGGTGAGATAAAATATAATAATAATAAATGTTATTGGTCTTCTTCTTGCCTGAACAGATTTATTAAAGAGAGAAAACAACATTCTTTCTTGTTTGCTAGTATTCTTAATAATTTGTAGAAAGCCAGCGCTCAGCTGAGTGGTTCTTCAGTATCTGACAGAGGTTTTTAAAGAACTTGTGTTGCTATATAAATAAATAAATTGACAATATGTTGGGAAACGAAAATGTTGCCAGGAGCATAGTTCAGCAATAAAGCGATCTAGCAGAAGCTGAATTCATCATCGTTAATATTAAAGGCACCCCTTCATACATGAGATTTTTTAGCATAATTCTTATTTGTAGAAGGATCAGGTTTAACTATTTCTGAACCACTTGTAAACAGTTGGACTTCTTTTCAAATACTACAGTTCTCAATATACTTCACTTTTTGGTTAGGTGAGCTAAAAGGAAATAATCAGATAGCATTATTTAGCAGTTAGCAGCAACTAAAAGCCTGAACTGAAAAAACAGCTAGCATCTTTAGTTACTCTTACATAGATGTTTCATTTGCAGCTGAGTTAAAACTCAGTACTAAGAACAAACCATGAATTAATGAAACATTGAAAAGAAATGTAAAATAAGTAAGTGCTAGTTACAGGAATAAAGGAGACAGAACATTAATAGTTTTTCCCACTTCCTCCAAGGAATCAGACAGAATAGAGAAGTGGCTGGTAGTGTTGTGTCTTTGCTTTGCCTCAATGAGATATAATGTCACCAGTGATAACTCAAAAAGCAGGATATCCCACATAAGCAAATTGTGAAGAGTTCCATTCCCCTGGATAGGCTTGCTTGTAGTATATTATTGTTGTATAATTTAAACCCCATATTTCTAGCCAGAAAACAGTATGCCCTGCTCCATATGTAGGACTAAATATTAACTGGGATAGGTCAATAGTTGTTTTTATTTATAAACATTTTATATATATAAAATATAAACTATTTATATATATAAAAATAAATTTTAAAAAAACTCTTTACCTGCTCCTGATTAGGCAGCCTCAGCATAGACTTTGAAACAGACAAGAATCACCATCAAGATTGCCTGCTAATTCAGGAAGGGATACTGGTAAGCAGAATGGTGGAGTGGCCTGGCTATTCTGTCATAGCAGCATGCATTCAAAATAGGCAGATTGTAGGGTAGAGCATCTGGCCAGCTGTTATTAACAGACCTGTACAATTCAGTTTCTATGAACATGGCCAAATTTTGCTATATGGTTTGTAAAACCAGATGCGCTTTGATTGCATCAATGATCTAGCTGTAACTATACTGTTTTATTCTGTTTCATCTGCTGCTAACTTGTGGGATTGTGGTCAGTGAATATAATAGGATATGGAACACATAGGCTGAAAAAATAGAGACCAGTGATTCAGATGTAAAAGTTTTCCCATTAATTCTACTAATCAATTGCTCTCACGTATCCAGGAGATAATCCTGTCTTAGAATTGGCAGTGCTAGACAGGAAGTATTCTGAAAAGTCTCTATCAGTGATGCTATCATGTAGCAGTTAGGTTAATGAATGAAAGTATGAAACTGGGATAAGAGTCTCAGTGCTTTACATGGTACAGAAGTGTCTCTTCCAGATCATTTTTAGAGCAGGATATCCTATGTATTCCCTTTTTTATACTATTATTAACTTTTAATAAGCCAGGGCCATAAACCCTTATTATTGCTGCATTAAAAATGATAATATATGTTTTGTTGGCTTTGAACAAGGCCAGTTAATAATTAGATAGCATAATAAACCTTTCTCTTGTTTAGCTGAAACCTATTTCTCAAACGACAGAATGAAAACAACAGGACAGATACAATTAAATACACAGCAGTTAAACTTCCTTAACTTGCTATAAATTGTGCTCTTACTGCTTGAAGGCTTTAAATATATAAACATCATTAAACATTTTAAAATATATTTTAAAAAAACAAGATAATCCTGACTCTACTACAGAAGGAATTGCTTTGTCTGCCAGCATAGCTTGTCCTGAGACAGCAGCGATACAGTGTTCTAATCAGTAAAAGGAGTTAAAATTGCCTGCTCCATTTTAACTGCAAGCGTTTTGCAAGACAAAGAAGGCATTACAGCAATTGTCATCCTTGGTATTAATGTCAACATTACTTTATTTACCAGGGCATTACATTTGATGAATTCAGATCATTTTTCCAGTTTTTGAACAATCTAGAAGATTTTGCAATTGCAATGCAAATGTACAATTTTGCAAATCGTTCAATAGGACAAGGTAAGACTGTCTAATGTCAAGATTGTATGCTTTTTATTATTATTATTTTTTACTTATTTATCACATTTGTATGCCACCTGACTCCCGACGACTCTGGAGCTCGCAACACCTAAAACAAGGGAAATACAATAATACCCAGTAAAAAAAAAAAGTTGGTGAGAATGAAAGACTGGACAAGAACAAACCAAAGGGTCTTCACACTCCCTTGCTAAAAGCCTGGGCAAAGAGCCAGGTCTTCATGACCCTTCTAAATAACAGCAGAGCGGGTACCATCCAGAGTCGGCGGAAACCTCATTCCGAAGGGCAGGCACTGCCACAGAGAAGGTGCATTTCCTGGGTCCTGATAGGTGACATTGTTCAATCGAAGGGACTTGGAACACACCAATCCTGCAAAATCGAATCAGCCAGGGAGATACTATGGGAGACAGGTGGTCCCACAAGTAACCAGGTCCTATGCCAAGTAGGGCTTTACCAGCACCGTGAATCAAATAATAGAAGAGAAACTCATATTTTTTTATTTATCTGTCTTTCCACATTTCTGCATCAAATGTTTCACTTAAAATAGAGCCTGAACTCTCATGTAATATTAGAAGTAACTGTATCCTTCTAATAACTTACCTTTCCAAAAACATAACAAATATTGCATGTTTTCTGCTAATATTTTTTTACATGCTAATAAATATATCCAATGTAGAGGTGGCTGGCTTTTCTTAGTTGGTTTTCCTGCATTTGAATGTTCTTTGTATAGAATTAAATAGACCTAATTCTTCTAAATGTATAATGACCATATTTTAATGCAACAATAAATCATAATTAAGCATTCTGTGGTGGTTCACATCAAATCTTGTATTTGTACATTTCCTCTTGCATTTTGATATGTGTGCAGTGAAGAGTTCAATAGTTTTTGCCTAAGGCTATTTAGGTAAAATAACGTATGTAACTCTAATTAAGAAAATTATGCTATTTGTAGAGATGAAGACACTTTTTACAATATTAAACTATTCTTTTTTTGTAGTCTTTAATTTTGGACGAACTTTTATAAGTTTTATAAACATGTTATTCAAATCAAATTCAAAAGCTAGATTCTGTACACATGAATGATGATGTCCATTTTGAAACAAGCTCTTTGTGTGTGTGTGTGTGTGTGTGTAAATACACACACACGCGTGCGTGTGCACAATAAACACATTTGTCAAAGATTTATTTGATCCATATTATGTTGAACCAATGAAAACACAGGTAAAAAATAAAAAAATAGACAAATGGAAATTTTTAGCCAGAGGTAAATTAGAAAAGAAAAATTGAAATTTGGGAATTTATACAAATTAAATAAAGGTTAAGCATAATTACATTTCTAAAAGTAAAATAATGATGCGTTTTGAAATCAAAATATGATGGTTTAAACAGAAGTAACTATTGTGAATCTATATCATTTAGTAAACAAGAAATGGGAGAAATTATGCTCACTATTTACAGGCAGAATCTGTTTAAAAACTACAGAAAAAGGTTAAGTTCTTTCCTACTAGCACTTCCATGCAACAAATTATTGAAGGGCAACATCCTATCTTAAAATGTATTTGAATGCCCCCCTATCAAGAATTAGAACTAATATGTTTTACAATTGTTAGTAACTAACTTGTAATTACATTACATAGCAAATTGTTTTATGCTAGATTAAACTGATTAGAAGAAAAGAATTCATCCATTTTCTTATTTAAGAAAAAAGAAAACTTTAATAAAGCTCCATAGTTAGTGCTTCTACAACAATTTATCTAAAAACAATATCAAATTAATGAAACCAAAATAATACATTTAAACATCCCTCATTATATCCAATAAGATCAGTGATTAAAATGATTGAAATGTTGCTAACATGAACTGATTAAAATATCACTAATAATAATTTCAGAATTGAGAATGAAACTGAATTTCAAAATTGGGAAAGAAAAAACAAGTATTTTTGCATCAAAACTAGCAGTTTTGAATTCCATTTTCCCACTTCTATTACGGTGAGTAGAATGGCTGGGTTTATTCAGCAAGCTAAACCAAAATATGGGTTTATTTCTTTGTTTTTGGCCTGTAAACAAACTGTTGCAGTTTGTAAACCATTATCTAAGACTGATCTAGGCTACTATAGGTTTATCTATAGAGCCTCTTTGCCTCACTCCAAGATAGCTCACTTATCAGTTATTGAGGGTATCCTCAGGACAAAGCCTCCATCACAGTATCAGCATGCTTTTGAGATAAGTTGAAGCTGGATTAGAGTGATTGGCATGAAACTAATGCTTTTTGTTGGAAAATGGAAAAAATATATCTCTTCCATTCAAAGCTTCTAGTATTTAAAACAACCAAAGTTTCTCTGTATCTTCAGAAGAGTGAGGAGCTGGGATAAATTGACTCTGTACATGACCATATGGTCCAGTTCCTGGCCTGCCCATTGTGTACTTTCTGGGAGAAGCTTTTGCTTGTAACCACTAACGTGAAGTAAAGAAAATGGAGGCCAGGAGGTACTATTTCTCAGTTGCTGTTCCAGCCTTCTGGAATATCATTCCCTTAGAATTAAGTCTTGCTCTATCTCTTCGTCAATTGTTGTATAAACCTCTGTGACTCTTCAATGATTTGGTAGTATACAGAAACTTGGGTGGTTTTAAAAGAATAGGAGCAAAATTTCAGGAAAAGCTAGGGTAGGGGAAAAAAAGAGTAATTTCTTCCCAGATCTCTGATTAACATTATCATCTTATATATCATAGAAATTAAAGTTTTTCTACATTTATCAAGTAATGCCGTCACCAAGTAGTCATCAAGTAGTTTTGTTCAGCATATTAATTTGCTTTGTTTCATTAGATGAGTTCAAGCGTGCAGTATATGTGGCTACTGGTTTGAAGCTTTCACCTCATTTAGTGAACACAGTCTTCAAGATCTTTGACGTAGATAAGGATGATCAACTGAGTTACAAAGAATTTATTGGTATTATGAAAGACAGATTGCATCGAGGATTCAGAGTAAGAATATAAATTATTGCTTAATCATAACATGTTTATTATGTCAACAGCTTATGAACTATATCACTCTTTCCATAGCCACTTCAAAACTACCTGTTGTTGAAGTTAAAACTATTATCCATGTATACTCTAGTTGCATCCAACCACTAATTTGGGGGACTGGATGTTTGTTTCTTCTGAAGGCTTAACTACAAGCAATAGCCTTACTATTAATCAAGTTAATCTTTGGTTCTTTATTTAGCAAATTTAATTTTGTTGTTACAATTTATATATCGTAGACACATATAAAATGCTTTTACAAAATTAATTAAACTGGTTTACAGGGTTTTTTTTAATAGTCTTGATGGAAATTCATTAGGACAATTAATTTATTAATAGGTGTAAATTAATTTTGTCACAAATGAATTGTAAAATAATTCTACAGATCCTACTGTGTAATTTTCTATTTAATTTACAAGTTTAAATTGGCTCAGGTTTTAAAGATTTTTCAAAACCACAGTAAACTTTGTGATATTTCTTTAAAAAAACTATAATAAATGTTATAGTGTAATATTTTAGGTTAACAATTATAAATTGAAATGAGCAACCATTCAAATATATGACTTGCAAACTGATTGGGCTATGCAGCTGTTTGAACCAAACAACTGAAACCTTGATCTATTTTTCTCATCAGTTATTCAGTCTGATTTTCTCCTTTACTGGGTCTCTCTAAATCTTTTATTCACTTGCTCACCTACTTGTTTCTAGCATTCCTCCCCAAGGGGAGAGAAAATATTTGGAGGAGTGTGAAGCTATGTAGCTCTTGAGATTGGCCACAGCTTGTCCCACAAGGTTTCTCCTTGGTGGAGGCATCCACATGATCCACAACTTTCATTAAAGTAAGAAAAGCAGGATTACACTGTTGTAACACAAACTCCACTCCTTTGTATGTATGTGCAACATCATGATGCTGGTACAAAAGGAGTGGGGTTTGCGTTGGCCCGCCTCTGCTTTTGCCATTTGTCCCCCACCCCTACCCCGACACTGCACTTTAGCAACAAATGACACAACTCATTGTCATTTTTTCTGGTCTTAGCTGCCACTCTCTCCTGGCCCACTTTCCTATACTCTGTTTGAAGACATTCCACTTTTCCACATTTTGAAAGCTGTTGAGTGAAGTAGAATGTAAGCTATTTTGGGTGAGGCCAACTATTAGAATCAAGGAAGTATAATATCAAGCAAGATACTTCACATTTCATACTTCAACTTGATTTGAACCTGAACTATAAGATATTTAAGGATGGATTAAGTATATAAATAGCATTTTAGGATTTTGAATTCAAAGGTGTTATTTAGTCCAGTCCATGAGAATCAATTGTTTAATTTTTGCCATGATGGAGTGCCTCTCCCCTTGGCCTTAACTGGGATACAGCAGACAGAGTGGTTAGACTGGAGAAGAGGCAGCAACACAGACTAGTAAAAGGCATTTGATAATGCCAACCCAAAAGCATTGAGGATGAAGTACAGGCTGAGCACTGCCCCCCATTATTCACCCAAGTAAGAGGAAGGGCAGTTCTCTTCTGCAGGAAGCCATCTCTGAACACATAGGTCCTGCCTAACATGATTACAATTGATTGCTCTAATTTAGTTAACACTCCTATTGGTACTGATAAAATCCCACAGCCTTCAAATGTGATGACATTAATTTTATTCCTTGTACTGCAAATATTTTTGAAAATTTTATCACAATATTGTGAAGATGCCACAGTATTTCTGTTAATAACAAATGGAAATTTAGAATATGCTTGTATTATTATTCTAAACACACACACACACACACACACACACACACAAACACACAGTTCCATAATTCTGAATAAACAATGTTTCCCTGGCACATGTATTAATTGCTTTATAAATTGTTTCGAAGACCACGTATCTTTCATTTTGTCCAATATGTTCTACTGCCACCTTGTGTTGTAACAATAAATTGCCCAAGGATATAGTACTAAATCACATGAAGGTAGACAAATATTTGCATGTCTTAAGATAGCAATTTTTTGTTCATAAAACACCAAGTGTCTGTCTTAATCAAGATTTTAAAAAGTGTTTAGTGTAAATATTTTGCCAAAACTATCCCTTTTCTTTATACAGGAATATTGTACGTAGTTGCATTACATCTGCACGAGTATTAGATCCTAAAATAATTTTACTGTTTTTTATCTAATAAATAGCATTTTTTTCAAACCATTGTTTTCCTAATGCTCACTTGTGTCTGCCTTTGCATGTTATCTTCCCATGCATACTTGTTTATCTTCTACTTTTAGGGTTACAAAAACATACAGAAATATACCACTTTCAAATCCTGTGTGAAGAAGGAACTCAACAGCAGACAATGGTATGTTTTGGGATTGTTGTTATTTTCCTGGACAATATTTCTAAGATTGCTCACAGGAACAGTTCACTATCCTTAACTGGCTTTTCAAATGACAACTGGAATTAACTTTATTAATTAGAACCAACCACTTCAGCATTAGAAACTTATAATCATGGCAGGGATGTGAATGCTGTTACTTGTGTAACTTCCATATGCTGATAGAAACAAACCAAAGATAAACAGTAATGTAATTACAGTGCTCCCTGCAATTGGGAATCCAGTATGATTAATACAAGTGAATCCTTTCCCTGGTTATAATTTTTAATGTTTTAATAGATGTGTTATTGACACCAAATTATTTAGTTACATTCTTCTGAAACTAACAGTTTTTTCATTATTCTTTTCCTTAAGAATTTTGCTAAGGAAATACAAATTTCCAGATAATATGGAATAAACTTCAAATTATCCCATAAATTGTCCTGATCCAAGACTCTTATGTTATCTTTTTTATATTGACCTATCTTAATTTATGTTCCCTACAAGCAAATGCTATCTGCATCAATACATCAATACAAATTAGCATCTTATTTTCTCCTCTTTTCTTTTGTAATTATACTGTATAAAAGAATGTGTCATACACTTAGTTCAGAAAATATATAACCAACCATTAGATACTGTCACAATTAAGCTGTATCCGTCATGCATATTCTAAATTTGGAAAACATACTGTTTTTCAGCTTCTGTAGGAAGCTAACAGTGGCTTTCTAAAATATAATTTTGAACTGTATATAGGTTTGTGATTTGTACAGGGAATTTGACAGCATTAATCCAGAAGAACTATTTAATTTAACACTTTTTTAAAAAGCATAATTAATATATATAAAACTTTATTTGAATAAGGGATATTTAAAGAAATCCAATGAAAGGGAAATGCAGAATGAAAGGGAGATGCAGAAATCCAGTGTGCAGATTAGTGGACTCAGCTGATGCCCTTCTTCTAGACCAGTGTTTCTCAAACTTGGCAACTTTAAGGTGTGTGGACTTCAAAAACAT